ATTGATTTACATTTACTACTATATTTTTCTAGAACTATACGCACTATACGTATAGTACTGATCTGCCCATCTCTAGTCAAATATCTGTTTCGCTCAACCCTAACGTTTTGAAACAGGATTATGATGTGTTTTATATATCAATATATATTTTAAAAAATGACAACTTAAAGCGATGAGTGGTGTAGAAGATTACTTGCTTTAAAAATCACAGTATATGATCATGCAATTTCATGTTGATTAAACCTAGATTCAAATCATGAGAGTTGAAGAAAAGAATGATTCTTTGACATTTTTGAAATGGCTTACTATACACTGTTAAATTTTTAATTGATGATCTGTCTATGAATCAGTGAACTCTAAATAAGGGTTGGCAGAAGAAAGATATCACACATTTCACTGATTGATGACTTTGTATAAAAAAATGATACTATACTTTAGTACTAAAATAATATATTTTTATGAAACAAATGTCAAGGAACATATTTATACATTTTTCAAGAATATCGAAAAAAAAGGAATTATCTTGGAATAAAAGTTCTATCATTTGATATAATTGAATACTAAAAATTAATTATGAATAGTTGGAATAATTTGAATAATATAGAAACTCAATTAAAAATAATTATACACTCATTTTGTTGTTATTATAAAACTATTTTAAAACCTCGAAATCATATCAAAAGTCCAAAACCTTAAAAAAGCACTATAAGTGCTTTATGTGAGAAAAGGTGTAATTAGATCTTTTTCAAAAACAAACCGAAAATAAATACCTAACCCCTAGTAAATACTTAAATTTTATTACGTGATGGGATGTTGGAGATCGTCAATTAAGTTATTGTAGATTATAGATTTTCAGAACATTCCATACAACCAAATGTTTGAAGTGCGTTCGTGAGTCAAGTGAAGCATATACCTAATCAAAAATCTCATTTGGTGTTAATAATTAAAATTGACAAGCTTGTAATAAAAATAAAGTACAAAAATAGCAGAAAGGTATTATATATTAAATTGTTGTTGTAGCATGCGGTGTTGATGCCATTGCACACATTTACAAAATGTATACGTACCATTCTGTTTGTTAATTTGTTTCCTCCGATAATAACTTCTTGTATTCTTCCTTGGATTTTTTATAAATTCCTAATTTAATTAATATTTAATAATTATTTTTATGAATATTTATATATCAATTTATTAACTAAAATTCTTTTTTAAACTTTACCTTTCATTTTTGATTTATCATTATAAACATTTTCTATTTTTTCATTGTAATAAATAAATATATTTTCTAAACAGATACAAATCGAATCACAAATTAAAATTATTTGTCTTTCCAAACATTTTGTGAAACCTTCGTCGTCCAATGGTTTATTTTCACAACCTTCGTAATCATATACACTGAGAATAAATCCTAGTAGTAGTTAATAAAATTATTAATTAATAAAATAATTGAGCAAAATAAAAAAAATCAACCTTAATTCCATAAATTCATCATTTATATAAATCGGTAGTTTATCATTAATTAATGTTTGACTAAAATCATTGTCAATAATTCGATGAAATTTATTAAAGAAATCCTGTTGTTTTTGGTTATTATATGAAGATGGTGACGAATTTGTTGAGATTAAATTAAGATACTCTATAAAGTTATTTAGAGTAAACTCATCATCATTAATAATCGTTACACATTGTTTATCAACCGAAGCATTCAAAGTATTTTCTAATCTTTTTTCAAACCTCAACTTACTAGTATAACATCAATGTTTAATTAATATAGAAGCCATATACATATATATATATATATATATGTATATATATATATATTTAATAAATAAATTTTTACATACAATTTACTCAAGAAAATACCCTTTAATTTATCACCATCGCTATTACTATTAAGGCGCCTTAATATTTTAGCAAACATATATAACAAGTAATTCCCTGTAGCATAGAAATAATCCAATTTCCCTTTCTTATCAGCCGAATCATGTACAGATTTTAAAAATACCGCCAACTCAGTTACTGACATAAAATATTCAGAAAAAACCTTTTCACAATATTTTCTTTTTCTATCACCATCACGGTCGTTAAAAGAAGAGTTAGAAAAAATTTTCAAATTTACAAATTTGCTCCAATTATTTTCCAAAAAATCATTTATTTCTAAAAGTCTATTATCAAGATCACCCATTAATAATTTACTATCATTATTATTAGATTCTATACTACTATTTACATTGTCATTAACTCTGTTGGGCAATTTCTCAAATGGAAAATCTAAATTATAAAGATATTTTTTGCCAATCAATTTACTATCTAGTTCTACTCTTCTTTTAATCATATAATAAACAACATTTGATTCTATTAAATTAGATTCAAATTGTGTAAGCTTTGAAATTAGATCTTCATCAGAATCAGCTACAGATGACGATGACGACGATATTTGAGATGCGTCATTTAATATTGTTGTGACTTCACGATTTGCTAGATTTGTTGTTTCCATTTTTTAGTTTAGAATAGTATTTAAAATAATGCAATAATATTTATTATTATTATTATTATTATTATTATTATTATTATTATTATTATTATTATTATTATTATTATTATTATTATTATTGTAGTATCAATAATTATATTATAACCATAATATCAATCATTCATTGCATCAATAGTTATATTATGGTCGTATAAAAATTTTACTTACGTATTGACATTGTTTTTGTTTTAATTAACTAGTTATAAATAAATGAGAAAGTTTTTGGAAACAAAAAAAAATAAAATTTAGAAATTAATTTTTAGAGTGCACAAAAACTCTTAATTAGTTAAATATGAATATAACATGCTATTACGTGGTTTCTTCCTGCAATTTCTTCTAATATTGGTTAATACTAATTAGCCTATTAGATATTTAGTAATCGATCATTTGCAACCATCACCATACCAATCTATTTTCAATATGTGATTATAAATAAATATTAATAATAAATATTAATAAATAATTAAAAATAAATAAAGCAAACATGTAAAATACACACGGTTATGAATCACACGCCCTTTAATATCCAACTTGATTCTTTTATCGATTTTGTTTACTGAATTCCTTTATTGGTATTGCTTCTCCTGCTATCAAATATAAATACCAATAAATATATATTGATAGTTTGATGACTAGTGTATTAGTGATTCCATATAAATAGATAAATGGAACAAAGTGAAGTTAGTAAGGA